AGCAGCAGCTGCAGTAGTAGCAGCAGCAGCAGCAGCAGTAGCAGTAGCAGTAGCAGTAGCAGTAGCAGTAGCAGTCGGAGTAGGAGTAGGAGTAGGAGTAGGAGTAGGAGTAGGAGGAGTAGTAGTAATAGTAGTAGGAGTAGTAGGAGTAGTAGGAGTAGTGTTAGTAGTAGTGCAGCCAGTAGCATCAAGAATGGAAGAGGCAAGACTAGCAGCACTAGTAGCTAGTATTGAGTAGTTGTCGGCAGTGGTCGGGTTTCATAAGACGGGCGTGACCATCATTTGGGTGGATATGTCTGGGTAGTGGTGGTAGAGTGGTAGTAGCAGCAGGACAAGGACCAAGGAGGAGCAGGAGAAGGAAGAGGAGTGGCAAACATGACGGGGCATTTCTGAATCAAGATTCATTTCAATGTTGATACCTAGAACCAACAGCAACAGCTGCAGCATCTGCAGTTATTATCTTTATCGTCACGGACTGGCTGCACAGGATACGGCAGGAAGCGCGAACGGAACTAGGCCAATTGCAACTGCAACTCAGGTTCGGCTGCGCTGGGCAGATCTCCAGATCACAGAGATCGGCCGCGTGCCGAAGCGCGGTGAGGCTGCAGAAGTCATGGCCTTGTCGCGAAGCATTTGTGTAGCTTCGCTTCACAACCCCAGGAATGCTATCTAGTCGCAAGCCAACCCGCTCCTCCGGGCCTGCCGATAATCACGGCTTTCTTGTCGACCGCTTCCTGAATGGGACCGGGACGGCACGATCGACTCGAACCGTCGGACATCTAACCGTCTAATACAAACACCTACCAGTAGCAAATAGTCGCACAGTTACAGGGCAAACATAAAGCTCAGGCTTAGCACGCGCACCTCAGCCTTTTAAGGGTATCGTAGCAGATACCACGAACTGGTTTGTGCTGCTTGGCTCGCTGGGGCCCTGCTTCATCTTCTTCGCTGTTCTAAACAACTGAGGTTTCCCGTCGGGTTTACGGCCCTTGGTTTCTGAATCTACTTATGATATATTTTTGTCCGGCTCAACCTGTTCGTGTACGATCGAACACTGTCGCGAAATTGACCGCAATCGTTTCCGTTGAGGCACTAGAAGCACCAGTGAACCAATTCCGCATGTACCGTGGTCGCAGGTTTGTAAAAGGCTCGGGCCCCATGACAAATTTCAGGATAGCTAGAGAGATTGAATGACTTTATCGTGTCACGTCGCACGCATTGGATCTGGTCAGGCCCTTGCGCTTTTCGTTCTGCAGGGCACGACAGGGGAGCGTTTGAGGGTGCCTCGGTCTCGCAAGCTAGTCGGACTGTTCTGGCCGCTCCAGCACCCCACGAAATGCAAGTCAGACAGGCAGGGAGTTGGACAAAAATCTCAGGGACTCAGGCTGAGCTGATGTTTTACCCGGTTGACTCGTGATCAGCAACATTTGGCTGAGCAGATGTTTACCTCAGTGCTACAGTGCCTCAGCCATCCTGAGTGAAGCATCTCTGAGGAGTGGCAGAGCAACGGTCGCCGAAGCACTTCACGGCCGGTCTCGCCAAGGGCACCCTTGGCAGCCTGGCATGCGGCTTGGATCATGAAGAAGGACCTGCTGGCTACAGGAAGCTCAACGAAGAAGAGGGGGGGCTTCTGTGTGTTGAACTGCTGTGTGCATTTGGGGGCCCCGGCTCTTGCGGTTGCTTCGACAGTACTAGCAAGTAGCACAGAAACATGCAGCGATTTGCTTGAACGCGCCTCGTGATCTCTTGGACGTTCTAAGTTCTAACTCTGCCTCACAAGCCCAGGGCTGTCGCGGGGCTGACGCAAGCAAGCGATGTCTACCTCAGTCCAAGGTGGCATCAATGCGGGTGCTTCGGAATCTTCCCTTTAGCGAGAAGAGTCTCAGCTGGGCCTTGGGAGCTTTGGGCAGCTGGTTCTCAGAAGTTCGGCGTCCCCTTCGGGCCACTTCGGCCCCCGAGCCGGCCCCTTTGAGCGCTGATCTGCTCAAGACATGCCAAGGAACAGCATGCCTTTGGTCGCGCATGCTGGCGGTGGTTTACTCCGTGCTTCGAGCTGCAGCGTCAGAGAAGTACAGTTGCAGTCAGTGCTTGGCATTTCTAGACAACGCAGATGCATCGAGGGACCAGGGGGCAGCAAAGAATGAAACTCCTTGACAAGAAATCTCAGCAGTTCGTGCAGCTCTGAACGCCCAGGCATGGCCTTGGGCTTCACGCCTTGTGCCAGGCGCATTGTGCCTGAAAGCATATCAATTCGTCTTGTCACCTGTGCAGGCGATACCACCATGTGGTGCGCCCACCGAGCTGGTCCACCCCTGTGACGCCGAGCTCCTCCAACCCTAACTTCATAAGCCACTCCAGCCTTTCATGCTGAGGTCCCTCGGATCAGTGGCATATGGTTTCAGCGTGTTTAGCTCCAGCTCGTTGTCAGGGCAGCCTTGGGGGAAGGCCCTCTGGCTACCTGTTTCCTGTTTCTCTTGGGGTGTCCGGCTCGTTTCCTGACGCAAGGACCGCCGGGTCTATGCCTGCCCTTCGGGCTTCGGTGTCAATGCATATTGTTTTGCTACCCTGTGGCTGCTGCGCATAGTGAAACTCACTTTAAGGCTCTACGGCATATGGCGTGAAGTGGAGCTGATAGGCCATATGGTTCTTCGAACCCGAGATATACATCGCAAGGCTTTGACAACAGTTGGCCGGTGTCGGACCCTCCAAGAATGTAGTGGACGCCAGCTGGGGCGTCTTTAATGATAACACCCCTTGACGGAGCACGCGAGTGTAAAAAGAGCACGTGATGTGCAGCAGCAAAGCAGGCTCAGACTCATGTCAGTCCAGAATCTCAGGATGGTAGCAGCCTGCGAGTGCGGCACAGCCAGCCTCATCAAGTCGGCGGTGGGCGAAGACTGGCCAACCAAAACGACATACACAGGGAATACTGTATCATCCCCCAAACACCATCTGCTGTTTGGCGCGCTTCTCCTGCCGCCCAGGCAGGACTGAATCTGCACACGATAAATCGAGGAGAAAATGGCATATGGCTCCTGAACGAGCCTTGTTGGCGACATTCAAAGCCCGCAAAGGAACGTCCTGATTGGTGCAACTGCTTTCACGCCCATGCCGTGTGTGCCATGATGACCTGATCTCCCCCTGCTGCTAGCGAGAGAATGTGGCGCTGCTGGCAAGAACCCATCGCTTCATGCTGGACATCGTCGTGACCACTTCCCTGGGTGTTCACGTTCCTCCTCCACCGTACTTCTTGAGTGTTCACGTCAAAAACAAGGGCATGCCGTTATATGTGGCATCAGTAGCAGGTGTATGCTGTATGCTCTTTGCATGAGAAGACGGTCACACATTCATTTGAGGCCTTACGACATGGCTCGCCAATCATGTGCCGCATATCCAGTTTCGTTCCGATGCTGTTGAAAAGAGCTTGTTCTGCCTCGTTTAGCACGCTGCGCACCGCAGCTGGCAGTGGATGGAATATGCCTGCATTCTGATCACTACGAACTCCATGCATGTGGTTTGGAATAGGTTTCGCCGGTGAACTGCAGGTCCAAAGAGGGTCTCGGATCTCCCTTATCGTGTCGAGTGCAGGATGTGCAGGTCGATTTCATTACACTGTGGTTGGTTGTTTGGATTTGCACCTTCCAGCAGCACGCATGACAGCCGTCATTCATTTCACAGCTGACCATCGTATCAAGCCTCGCCTGGACCATCGGAGACCAACTGGTAAAGCTTCCAGCGCCATGCAGGCTTGTAAACTTCAGATGAGCGAGCTCAAGAAGAGCCGGCCTCAGACATTTGCACAAGACGTGAATTCAACATGCCATTCTTGCGCACGACCGCAACCGGAAGCATGTTTGGGAAGCGTTTTGGCTGAGCCGAATCGAGCCAGGACCTGCGAGCTTAATCAAGCACAGTGCCGGTGCCTCAGAGATGTCCGGACGCAGCGCTTTCCAAAGTGCAGGCTTCTCTAGCCTCGTCAGAGGGGGCGTCTCACAGTCTGAACGGCTTAGCCCAGAACCCTTCCACATAACAAGCTTGCCTGCTGCGCTGCAGTCTGCCGAACATAATATAGATGCGAACTTGCTAATTACTTGCCAGTTTGTGGTCACGCAAGTTGAGCAGAACCTGGAGTGTCACGTGACTTTGGCGTGCCCGTGCGGTGTCGCAGCTGGTAAGGGGAGAGAGCTTGAGAACCTCCCCGTTGCAGCGACTGCTTTAACTTTAGCCATGTAGATACACGTGTTGTATTGCTTCTCTTCTTTACTGGCGTGTTGCTTACAGGGTGAATGTTCGTGGACGAGCTCTGTGATGACTGTAGTAAATCTGCGTGTGGTGGACGAACGGCCGGGTCTTCAGCTCATGTTTGTTGTGTGGGTTTGTGATGTGTGCGACCGTTAGTCAAGTCTGAGTCTAGTTGTTGATGGTTGGTTGCCGTGTAAGGCTTACTCCTTGCCCATGTGTGGGTAGCTCCCGTTTTGTCATTGGTTGATGGTTGTTTTGTGGAGCCTCCCGTGCATTGATCGCAGTATCAGCAGATTGCTTCTGGACAACTGGATCAGTCGAAAGCAGCCCAGGCCGTTTAAGATTGCGCGACTTCTACGGTGCGAAAAAGGCTTGCGATGCAGTCCGGACACTCAGTACGGAACCCGTGCTGGTCATTGGCATATTGATCGCGAGTTCCAAGATGGTTATCGAGAATTGAGCTGCAGGGCAATTAGGATGGGCTAGCTCTATGTGGTGGGCACAGCCGAACTGGCTTGAGCTGCATTGCGGCATCTGACTTGTGAGATTGCCGTCCTGCTAGTGTTCCCCCGGTGTTTCGCAGGAAGGGCTTTGAGTAAAGACTGAGCATGGGTCAGTGAAGAATCGACTTGTCTTAGGTCTTGGCAGAGGAGCCCACGAACCTCAAGGCTGACGTGAGCCGTGGATAATGCATTCCCTTCTGTGATCTTTTGTGGCCTTCTAGTACTTCTAGTTTCAAACAGCCGCGCCAAACGTTGCATCACCTTCGTGGCATAGCAGAGTATAGCCATCATCTCATGGTCTGGTCTGGGTGCATTTCTGCACTAAAGAATGGGTTGGATTCGTCGCGGTCCTTCCCACTCACTACTTGTAGTGATCGTCAGAGGCTCGAGTGCTGTCAGCTACATCGAGCGATCATGAGAAGGTTTCCATTTCCACATCACAGACTGACCCATTGTCAACAGTCCAGACGGTAGGACAGCAGGTGAAAATGTTGGCCATGGGCCAGGCACTCTTCAGAAGGGCGAGCGCCAATCTTCAGCCAAGCTCTTAACAACCCGCCGGTCTACTGGAGCTTGCTAGCCTTGCCGGATTGCTTCGTTGAGCTACTTCATTTCCGCTAGCTCTGCACTGAGGCGGAGGGATTTCGCTGATGCGAGCTCGCCTAAGCATTTCCTCGAGCCAAAGGATCTGCATGATCAGCATCAACCAACGCAAAGGTCAGCAAACGCAATAGAGGTTGATGTTGAGCACTTTCACTCTAGAAGCATGACCTTGGACAGCTTGCGTGCATGGCTGCAGAATCGGTTGAAGACCGCTGAGCTCCTACAAGATACTGCGGCACTTGTGCCATGGTCATCGAGCATTCTCCGGCAGGGCGAAAGCTCGTCGTGCTCGCGCATGTTGGTCTTGAACACCTTCCTAATCCTTTTTCCCGCTTAGACTCCTCCACTGAAGTCCCCCTCCGGAACTGTCAAAAAGTAGTGTAAGTTGACTCGAAGGGAGTATACTTCCTCTGCTAGCACGGCCACTTAAGATGCATTTGTCGGTCGTGAGCGTCGAGTGACGAAACTGTAATTGTATTAGCAGTCCACATCTCGCACTGCGGCAGGGTTTCCACGTCACTGGAGTAGATGTCAGAGATACATGGCCGATCGGGCGTGTGGGTTCGCATGGCCAGTGAGCGCAACCGATAGAGTCTGCATGAAGACCAGAGCCGGTCTGCAGGCTTAGTGACCTCAAAATGCTCTTGGAGCTAGAGTCGGGGCCTGAGCACACAGCAGATCTTATAGGTGTGCCGCAGAGGTGAAAACACTAAACTTCTTGTGAGAGGTCAGCAGAAACCTCCAAGAGGGGAAGCATTCGCTGAGCCAGATTCCGTTCCAATCTTGCTGAGTCCCAAAAATTCCGATGCAAGACGGCTGCTGCCAGAGGCGGAGCTCGAAGTTGTCCTGAGTTAGGCTTGGATTTTACATGTAGCTTGTCGATACTTTCGGGTGGCCATACAAAGCGATTTAGGTTTATCACGCGCCTGCGTCGAGTAATCACATCCGCGTGTTGCTGTTTTGTTGGACTGGGCTGGACTTGTAGCTTGGCTGTTGGTGGGAGTCGTGTTGCAGTTGACAAGCTCTCTCGGAGGCACAGAAAGGAGCCAAAGAAGGCACGTGGGTGCGACAGGACATGTTGACTGTGGTCCGGGGCATCAAGAAATCTTGCGAGGCACAATAACAGTGGAGATGCGGTGAGAGTGTAGCCACCCACGAAGCACGCTGTAGTCGAGACCGCGTTTAAGGCTTGCCGTGGATTGTGCCAGTCGCTAGTAACTAGTACTCGTGCTCTCATCACTCACACGCATATGGAGAGGCGAGAAGAAGGCCAGGTCCATGTACGCCAAAATGACCAAGAGCCTTGGGACTGGCAGGGAGGAGCGGTTGCTGTGGGCCATGCTGCATTACTTGCTCAAGCTGACCTTGCACTACCACCAGGACGTAAAGGGCATTCAGTTTGACTTCGAGCCCGAACCAGAGTCCTTTTCTGTTGCTGGCTCAGCAACACTGACTGCTGAGAATCGCATTTGGTGTCGACACCAAAGTCACCATAAGTCCGAGCCAAACGGGTGAAGCTTGTTTTGGAATGCTTTGGAGAATTTGCTGACCACTGTCGGCAAGTTTCATGACTTGAGGCACTTTTCCTGGATGCGCCTGCTCGAAACACTGCCTCTTGCAACGCTGGTGACTATCGTTTGTATGCTGCGCTCTCGGATTTCTTGCATGTGGAAGCGCGTTTGTTTGCGTTTCAGAAATGAGGCTGCTCCACTAGAAGTCGACAACACTAGGACCTGCACTGGATTTGGGATCCTACTCTGCACCCGAGACCCATATTTCTCCAGCTGTTCCGAACTCGTTCAACCGGTGTTTGTTTTGACCACCTTTGTGATGCACGTCTCCTGAGGTAGGTGGAGGTGCCATAAACAAAGCATTCGGAGACTTGCCTTGGCCTCGGTCGGGTCGTACATCCTTGCCGTCTTGACAGTTACAGTTGGCTGGCTAAGAGCCGCGACGCTGCGGACTCTCCGCCTGCATCCAGCCAGGTTCAAGAAGGAGCAGGGCCTGCAGTTTGGCAGGATTTCCGAGGCCAGGCCATCGCGTGACATTGCATTCCGGCATATCCCGGCATGCCAGCATCAGATCAAAACGTCCGCAGTAAAAGCCTCATACACCCCTCGGCGATCCTCGGCGCAAGCATCACCATCTGCTCTCAAATGGAATCGTAAGCAGGGTAGGTAATCGACTTCCAAATCTGGGCTGGAAATGGAATCAGGGGATTGGACGCCCCCTCTTCCATGAATCCAAGTTGCACGCGGAAAGACGACAAAACCCCTTTCATCCCCTTCTCCATCACTCTGCATTCTGCTCTCGGAGAGCCATGGAGAGAGCAAGTCACTGTTCGGAAAATTTGTCCTAAGGTTCGTCACATGGGCGGGGCATGGTAACAGGGCCTGGCGAGGGTGCCTTGGTGCATCTTGTGCTGTTACATGTTGTTACCCCATCGTACGATTGAGATCTATAACAGGTTCTAGGGATTTGGGTCTACTCAGGAACCCAAGTAGGGGCTGCGTACCCGTAAAGAGCCCGGACAAGCAGAATTGCAGACCTCAGGCACTATGCGCCCAGTTCAGGTGGCACTAACTGCCGTGACATTCGAAGATTACTGCGCCCAGCTCCCGAAGCTTAGGCTGCTTCAGTCTGCGCACGGTGATTTTCCTTCGCGTTTTTCGCTATCGCATCACTCGCTCGCTCCAACACAGGATCACGCTGTCAGGCCTCGCACAATGCATCCCCGGGCCTCAGACCACTGGAAACCGGAATCACCAGAGAGGTTAACTGTGCCGAAATTCCCTTTTGTACTCCAATGCCAACTCCGAGCCCTCTCGAGTGGCGAACACCCCCCCCCCCGCCCAATAGCCGACCAACGCGGGCTGGCAGGGCTGCTTCTTTGCATGCTTCAATGTTTTTTAGCTTTGACACCATATATACAGGTGCCACAGCCTCAGATAATATCGCAGCTGGTCTGGGAGACCTTGACACCTGGACCGACTATCGCCCGAGCACTATGATTTGAAGAGCTGCAAGGAGTGAAGAGAAGCTTTGCATGCTCAGGGCAGCAACGGCAGCAATTCATATCATGGTTATAGTAAACCGCCACCACACCGCAGAAGAAGTCGACCTCGAGCCGTGGGGACACCACAATGATGCGAAAGTTCGCCACAAGCTTGAATCCGACGATGTTTGACAGATGGGTCAAACAGACACTGTCACTCCGACGGCATTCCGTACACAAGCCGAGTTTGAACCAGCCTCAGGACTACCAACAGTTGCACATGGAGCTCCTCCATGCAAGTCGGAAGGCGGCGCGGTTTGTGCGGTGGCTTGCTGCAATCCAAGGATAGTCGTCCAGCACCAGCGAGGCATGAAACCCCCCCTCGAATGCACGTCAGGCTGGCCGGAAACTGGTTTCTGCTGCGCACTTATTCCCTACTTCATTCAGATGCTCTCACATGCCAGGGCAGGTGCATAAGCATCCTTGCTTTAGCGGCAGTGAAGAGGTGAGCTCGGCCCATTCTGACAGCCTTGCATAGGTGATACATGAGTCTTCAGTACGTCAAGGGAGGGGAATTGTCGCGTGCCTGAGGCCCGAGACTTGCCCAAGGCTGCTGAATTATTGCCGGACCCTTTTTGAGTTTGCACATTCTTACACCAGAGTGTGTCTTTCTTGCGGGCCGGTGCCGGAGGCAAAGGCGAGACAGATCGGACTCTTGACTCTTTTGAATCCCGGTCTTCAGGCCGAAGCTTTCGCTCTTAGCCTCGTTCGGCCGCGCGGCCGATGTCCCTTGGCAAGACGACCATCTTGAGATCCTCGTTGAAGGCACAAGACTCAAGACTGTTGCACCCGAACCTGCAATTGCCCTCCCAAGGAAGTGGAGCCAGAAGGTGCAGAGGGCAAGGGCCTCGGCAGAAATTGGGGGGAAGTCAGCGTCGACTGATCCTCCACTGCAGCAAGCCACACCCAACGCCATCACCTTTCCAAATCTCCAAGATCTGCACATGAGCGATATTTCCGTCACCATGCAGTACGTTTGCTCTGCCAGCGGTCCAAAACGTTACTCCCGATGGTTGGGACTGGATCAAAGCTTCTGCAAAGGTCAAGATCACACTTCAAGCGCCCCGATATGGGCCAGTGTGCGTGTATGGTTTTCGTTCATGAACGACATCGCGCCGAACGTCTCCAAGAGGACGATGTCGGGACCTGTCTGCATTGCGGACTGGCTGCGGAGTTTCGGCAAGCTTCTAATTCGGTTGACCGGTTTTAGCTTAGTGGTTTGGTGGTCAGGGTGTGCCTGGTCACGTTTGTAGTTCTGTTGTGCTTGGTGGTCATCTGTTTGCAAGGCCAAGCATGGTGCCCAGCATTCACGCAAAGGTGTTTTGCGCGGGCCTGTCCTTGCTCGCATCTTGTGCTGCGTCATGCCGGCGCGTAAAGCTGGTAACAAGCGGCTCCCTCGAATCCGATCTTTTCCAATGCACCGCATGTGGCTCCTTGCTTGTTGCCCTGTTGGCCGGTGTCTCTTGGCTTGGTGGTGTGTGCTGCACCGGATGCGCTGTCTGCTGCATCGGTGTCGTGGGTGCCTCCCACTCTGCCTTCGTTCCCTTTGTTGTGCTTCTCCTCCCGGTCATGTGTTTTGGATGCACAGATCTGGCCGGTACTCCCGCTGTGTTGATCCCTTGCGTGGTGGTGGCAAAGGGGGTTCTCGCAGCACCGTTCGCCGGCGCGATCAGTCCGCTCAGATCGACGCCCTGTTTGCTGCCGTTTCTGCCCTTACCGCAAAGGTTGACAGCTTGCAATCCATGGTCGCCTCTTTGCCTGGTTCGCGAGCTGCGCTTAAACACAACGCACCTGCCTCAGTCACCGAGCCCATACGTGATGCTCCGGCTGTTGCTTCTCTCTCCGCCAAGGTTGATAGTTTGAAAGCTGCGTTGTCGACTTTCTCGGCGTCTCCTCACGCGACTCTGCCCGAGGTCCAGGCTCACACCCCGGCCTCTCGTCCTGTTGGTGCTGCGCGTCAGGCTGGGTCCTGGGCTGACGTTGCAAAAGCTTTTGGTGCCAAAGCCGGCGCCCCTAAACCCTCTTCTGCTGCCCCTGCTTTGTTCGGTGCGGCTTGGTC